AAGCATGGAAATTCAATGCGTTAATCAGCTACTTTGTGACAGCAGAAAGAAAAGGTGAAGTGGAAGCATGCATTACTGAGTGGTCTACGAAGCAGAATTACCCAGTGGTTCAGCTGGAAAGACAGATAAGAACGAACATCCTGTCTGAGTTCACTTTACGTTCACATTGAGATGGGGCTCCATAGTGTTCTCCCAGTGAAATAAAATCTAAATGGCTGGATTTCCATCCAGCTTGTCTGTTCAGGTGAAATAAATTTAGAAGACAATTTCCTAGCTCATGTGAAAAAAAGCACTTAAAGACAGGTCAGCCTTTCCTCCCACATCTCAGAAAACATACTGCAAATTTAGCTTGCAGAACACTGGTAGCACTGTAGGAAAAGATTGCTGATCACGATGCAAATTTTGCTAACAGTTTAGTGAGTTATCTTCATGCACATTGAAATCCTATTTTTCTTGTTGGCTTATGCTGGACTCCAGCTGCAGGGTCATGAATGTATTCTTGCCTACTTTTCTCCTAAATATTTAATAAAACATTACTCAAAATGAGAATACCTGAAAGCACATTTATATCACTTTACATTTGAAACTGCATTCAGTATTTTAAAAGTCTATTTGCTGGGAAGTACAATGAGGAAATATACCGTACATCAAGTTATAGCTCATAAAGTAGCAAATGCTAAATTGTTCTATACGTAAGATCACTTCGTGTATCTGCCAAGAGAGCAATATTCTTGTTTCATCAGTAGAAGTATATGGACCCTAACACAAGTGCAGATTTACCCTTAGAAATGAGCCAGAGGCAGGTTCAAGCAGTTTCTATGTGAATCAAAATCATTTTAACAGACAAATTGGTGAAATAACTTACCTTTCCTTGAAATACATGATGTACAGTACAGGAACAACATATTCATTATTTGTGCTCCTTCCTTTTTATTATATAAGAGGGCCTGTATATTGAGTTCATTTGAGGACAAATGGAGTGGCAGACATTACTTCATAGTTAAATGGGACGGTTCCACTGTTGTTGAACAGGAAAAATGTACAATTGGAGTTCACATAATACAATCAGTTTGCAATTTTGCAGTGCTCTGGAATGAAACAGTTTTATGTTCTCTAGTGTTGGGGCAATGCTTACATACCATATTCACAGTACTCTTAAAAAAGCACAATCCCAATTCTATAATTGTATAACTTTGTTAAAAGTCCATCTGGCAGTAGCCCAGGAAGAAATACAACCAAATTAAAAAAAAAACGATGCAAAGGAGATAACATCTTTTTTTCAATCTTTTTGAGATTCAGATGTCATTAGGACAATCAGAGAAAAATCAGAAAATCAACAAGAAGAGTTCGTGGGTTTTTTTGTTTGTTTTGAGGTGGGGGGCTTGTTTGTTTGTTTGTTTTTTCCTGGATTTGGATGCATCTCTAGAAATTATCTGCATTCACATCAACTATGTTGTTCTTATTGTCAGGGGAAAACTAGTAGCCAAGTGCAAACTGACTATTCCATTGCAAAATCTGGTTCAAACCACAGGCACCTCTACTGTAATAGATGATTTCAAAAGGCATGTCACCACTTTGAATAGTGACAAATTTACAGCTTCAAATACAACTGATCTTTAAGTATTTTGATAATCAGGATTGAATTGTGAAGCCTTTGCCTTCTAACCATCTAAACTTGATTCATCTTCAGCCAAGTTCTAAACCCTACTCCATCTTCCTTTCTATTAAAACTCAAATGACGAGACCTGTAGTGAAATGCTGTCTTGGTAGGCCTATTTTTTTTTTTTTTTAAATTCCTGCTAGTATTAGAAATATCTACACATGCATGTTTAATCCATTAAATCCTAAGTTTCTCCTTAAGTTCTCACTGCTAAGGCAGAAGGGAGGTGCAATAAACAATGAACCACAGAGATCAGAATCTAAATCAATAAGACTTTCCTATTCCTGAGGGAAGACTTAATCACCATAATAGAGAGCATTTTTCCCCCCTCTATGAAGGAATCTGAAAGAGTTGGGCTTGTTCCCAAACTCAGAAAATGGCAAACTTCAGTAAAACAATGGACAAACCAACTCTCATTGTGATTCAGCTTTACAATGCAAAAGGTATTAATTTAGAGCATACTGACAGTAAACACCACTCCCATCAACATTTTCACAGTTGTCATCATAAGAATAGTAGAACCAGAGTCCCATTAAACAGAAAGAAATGAAGCAGTTAACACCTCTCAATAAGGAGTTGTATTTCAGAATCAAACACCCCTAGGCTTTGAGCTGAAATTGCCCACATTTGTTGTCTCCCAGGACATAGTCCAATAACCGTTTATTCAGCCTCTATCGGAAATGAGTAGCAGTTGTAATAATGCAATAACTAACGCCCAACATATTATCTGTGGGAGGAAAGCTTGGTTTTATTCTGCATAGCCATAGTTTTTTTCCACTTATATTCCTAAAACTTCATAGAGACATTTTAAATTACTATCACGAAAATTTCTGCGCTAGTAAATGCACTCCAAAGACTGTATATATCTTTGCATTCATGTACTGGACTCCACTCACACTAGTCATAGGAGGGGAAGAAAAAAATAAACTTCTTTCTACAGACACCTATCAAAACATGCAATATAAATAATAAATATGGACTATACCATAAAGAAAAGCAACTCATTTAGAGCACTGTTCCACAAGCATTCCAAATCATACTGATTAGGAGCTTCACTGGGTCTCAGTACTCTAACATTCCATCCAGTCTGATGATCTTCCTCAAGTACAAAATCTGTCTCAGAGGACCTGAAAAGTTCCCCAGATACAGTCTGTCAAAACAGATGTAGTTACATCATGCCCATAAGAGGAGTAAAAGCGTGACTGGATTTGCAAAAGTCAGAAAGTGTTTTTCATCCTCAATAAAAAGTTTCCCTACACCTAACTAGCTCCAGTATGTTTTTGTTAGACACCACCCCCTGTATCAGTGTCCTTTTATGGTAACCATACAGGGAAAATATACTCCACCTGCACAGAAGTTGAGCATCAAGAACTCCAGCCATATGGAAATCGCTAGGCTAAAATCTAAAGCCACCATAGAGGCTCCTCTTGCCATCAACATACAAGTTCATATGCAAGTCTTCTGATTACCCACAAAAAAAGACTTGCATAATTTTCGACACGCAAAAAGAAAGGGTGTCTCTGCTTTGATCCCAGCAGAACCTCTATGCACAGCTTATGTACTAGATGATCAGCTTGAAAGTCTGAGTGTCTTCAATAAGGCCATAAAATAAGCAATGATTGTCATCCTTATGATAATGACTAACAATGATTAAAAAAAAAAAATTGGTGGAGTGCTTATTACAAGCCTTCTCCACCCACAGTGACCTGTAGACCCGAACTTTTTAAAGGGCTGCTTCATAAGAGAAAGGTTAAGCCTCACCGAACACATTGGGGTCAAAAGTCAACACTCTAGAATGATCTTTAAGATTAAAACAGCAGACAGACAAGAGTACAGACAACAGCAGACAAGAGATTGACACTCAGGTTTTTTATTGATTTCGCTGCCATCACACCTTTGCATTAATCACTTTTTCCAACAGCTTTGTTGGAACCTGCAACGTAAAAGCACTCAAAGCATCGTTCAACCATCTGAGAAGTTAGTATGCTCTACTACTAATATTTACCTTTCAAATTCACCTAGATATACAAAAATAAAATTTAATCGCTGTTTACTTCTCACAAGGAGATGGCATTCCCTGGTAAATAATGACAGCATTGTCCTTAGAGACCACTGCATTTCTGTGGTGCAGCCAGCTACCAGCAGCAAGATGGGGGCAAATAAAGAGAAGAAGGAATTATTGTACAAAAAAAAAATTTTCTTACACAATATACAAGCCTATCTCAATACCTAATGTCAGTGGATTCACCTCAGTGATTTCTTAAACACATAACTACACAAAACAGCTTCCCTCCTGTTTAGAACAGCTCCTAATAAGGCATAGTTTAGCCAAGCCTCCAGTATTTTTTTCCACCACAAACGGCGACTTTTATTTTTTACAGCCAGAAAAAGATGTGCATTATCATACTAGAAACTACTCTGGATTTACTAGAGTGCCATATCAAAAGTAGACTCAAATAGTCAGTAACTAGGCTACACAAACATACCTAAGTAAACATAATAAATAAATAAACTGCTCTGCGGGATCTGAGTAGCAAGTCTAGCCAAGGAGATTCCTGCTGGATTAGGAAGATTCCCTATACAGAGGTTTATCCATCCATTTTGACGCAGCTGCTAACAATACAATACACTATTTTGTAATAAACCTGGTCTCTAACATACAGGCTGCATCAGAAGGAACTGCATGATTCTGAGGCAATCCTACTACCAACTCTTTAGCCCATCCCATTGCTGAAGGTGACACTTTACAGTAGCTCTAACCAAATGGAACTTGTGCCCATCTCTCAGCAACCCAATTCACAGCCTGATTTCTGCATCCTAAACCCAGGCTCTGGAGCAGCTGATGTTTGGCACAGACTAATAATTTGCAGGTAAGGCAAGATTCCACTACAATCACTGTAGAGCGCAATTTGATTACAGAATAAATCTAGAGGTTCAGAGAGTCCTCACAACTGCATACTCAGAACAAAAACAGTCTACTACCAGATTGAACTCAAAATGGGAATAACAAGATCACCACAACAATAAATCAATAGCAAAGGAGAAGAAAACACTAAGGCACCAATTGTAAAGTGCATTGTGCATAGGAACAATGTTTACAAACACAGTATTAAACACAAGGACATCCCAGTAGCAACTCCCTACAGACAGAAGCTTTAACTTGAGTTTACGGTCTAACAGTCTCACAGGAAGTCATAACAATGACTTTAACTCATACTTCCACGTTTCATGAAGTTTTACAGGAACTTTGGGATTTCAGGTTGTCCCTATTAAAAATAAATATAGATATTTACAACAGTTTAAAAAAAGTCCACTTCAGATACTTTTAGCGGGGTATTACCAATCTGGCGTCTTCATATAAGTTCAAAACACACTACATAGTTCTGTAAAATACTCCAGCTCCTGTCTTACTAAAAGAAGCTTAATTTTAAGCAATTTTAAACCAATTGTAGTTCATTTTTCCTGAACCCATAGAACACACACAAACACATACAGCACTCTTAATATATAGAAATGAGCATGCTTAGATAGGTACCTCCAATTAAACACAGCTGTATTTAATTGATCAATCCCTTTGGTAAGCATTTAATGAAAACACCTGTCTTGGGGAGGTGTTTACTCCTACCAGGCATCAAAGCAATGCTATTCTTTTTCATAAGAGATGAGCTTATAAAGCTAGATTAGCAGATATAATCTATGCTAAATTGCTCAACTAGAGCAAACAAAAGAAGGTATTTATTGACAGCTGTGGTGATGTTGCTGCTGTAGATTCACCTGAAAAGAGGAGGCTCCTGTGAATAGGGAATGCAATCCTAACTGTAGTGAGTATATGCTTTGTTATCTTTGAGGTTCATTTCCAAACAGATTTAAGAGAAGACCTCTCTCTAAGGAAAAATGTATTGTGATGCCTGCTGTAAAAGCTGCTTTTGCAGAAGCGCAATCTAAAAATGCATTTTGTATTTGAAAGTTAGTTCTCTGTGTTCAGCACTTTCTAGAAGAGGTGTGTATCTGATCTGGTAAGCTTTTTACCATTTATAGGTGTTTTAAGATCACCGCTAGCATTTTCCTAACTGCTAGATTGTTAGAAAGACAATATTTTCTGTTTATAGGAAGTTATCTTGGTACTCCTCTTACAGCTAACCATGGAGTGGCACAAAAGCTTAGACGAATGTTCCTTTCTGTTGCATCTTTGAAGATTAATCACCACCACAAATGAGAACTAATGCAGTGAGTACTTACCCTTTTCCTATACCAAACCCTCATATATATTCAAATACACATCTGATTTTATTCTAGGTGTCAGAAAGGTGCTAATCTGTCTGGCTGTTGGAGTAACCGTGCCAGACTCAAAGCTACAGTTACTGTTAAGTTCTGCTGATGTGATGCCTGGACCCAGAGCTGCAGGCATCCTTTCACTGGGCTATAATGCTGCTGAATGAGGATTTACTGTTCTGAAAAGCCACACAATGTGGCACTGGAGGGGCACCCTCTAAATAAACTGTTCACTCCTGAACTTCAGGTTTTTTGTGCTGGCTTAACAATTGTATACCAAATAGATGCTATAACTCCAACAGAACAAGTAATCATCTGAAATGGTAACCAAGGGCACTACTTTCCTTAATATCATTAATTTGAAGTGCTGTTTGCAGAGGTGAGGGGAAAAAAAAAGCATATATTTCTCTTTTGACTAAATGTTAAGTAAAGGACTGAAAGTTCTATCAAAGCAAATACTTCAATTTTATTAACCATAATAAAAGAGAGTGGAAAAAAGTTATATAAAACTTGCTAGAACATAGTTATTGAACACTGCAGTTTCTAATCTGGGCGATAAATGTAGGTCAAGGGAACTGGAAAATCTAATTACTCTGTAAATTTTTAAACCTGTTTCTTTCAAGGAAAAGAAGATTGTTCCCTTGCATTTATGCGTATTTCACTCCACATGTAACTACAGCTAGCTGGGGAGTTACTTCTGTCTGAACACAAAAAGGTTTTTGAACTTTCTTTAACAGTGTCTTTATGTCTTGCATGGTTTTCTCAGCTTTGGCTCGTGCTTGTTCTCAAGGTAACATTGGTTATTCCACAGCCAGCATTACTGTTCTGTAAATACCAGAGGCACCCTTCACGTTTAAAAGAAAAAATAAATAAGAAGCCATCTCTAAATAAAACTGACCTTTGGTACACCACTGTAGCAGTTCCTCTAGGTAACATCCCATACAACTGTAATGTGATACCTAGTGTTCATACAGCGCGTTAACTAAGTATGAGGCAATGCATCATTACAGAGCTCCCGCTAATATGAATGTGACAGCATTGTAAATGTTAATTATTTACTGATGGTTTAACTGTTTCACAGATCGTTGTTGCTGACTCCTGTGTCTAAACAGACTATTACTTATAGGAGGACCAAATACTTTAAAAAACATACAAAAAATGTGAGGACTCGCACCATTTGAAGATTCCAAAATCAAGGTCTATTGATTTTTTTTTTTTGGAATCATACAAACCTAGAAAGGTACCATTTCAGGCATTTATTTCCCAGCCCAATTAACCCTTTTAAAAGAATAAAGGGGGGGAAAAAAGGAACTCCTTAAGCAATCCTCCAAGATCCAATCACCAGAATGCCCTGAGACTTCAAGTCTCAAGTCATGTATTCTCTTTGCTTCTACTCACAAAGGATTGTGGGGTTTTTGTATTGTTTTTCTATTTGTTTGCTTGGTTTTACCCATTATGTAAAACAAAAGCCTAATTACACATAGGCAGAAGTTGGTGCTTCTAGAAAAACAGAGAGCCCCCCAAAATCATGGAACACTGTCACTGGAACATGGAGCTGTCACTGTATTTGAAGATACGCAGATGAGAAGAGGTAACTGCAGCCAGCTGACATCTTGTATTGACCAGCCCTTCGTGCAGAGTTCTCTTTGATTCCTGCCTCTGTGATACATGATGAAGAACCATGGCGTTTCACAACAGAAGGAGGACTTGTATGTTGTGCTCTGATTTGGCAATCAACACTTTGTTTGTTTTTGGGGGGTGGGGGAGTGAGCTGTACAAAAGCAGAAAACCTGGCCTCAGCTCATCTGATCTTTGGACGCTGCTCTCGTTATGCATAAATCCTGCTTTTGACCTTCCTCCAACTGTGCTGGCAGGTAAAGACTCTCAGATTTAAAAAAAAAAAAAACCAAAAAAAAAAACTCGAGAAGAGTCACAGCAGGGACTGAAACTATATTTGATGTAAAAGGTAAGCTCCGAACAGCAGCTCAGAGAACACCCCCAAATTGAGATGAGTTTTGTGAAAGTGGTCTACAATAAAAAGCAGACAAATATATTTTTTTAATGATGTTATTTTTAATCTCTGCCATTTATGTGGATGTAGGTGGCAAGGTTAAATCTAAAAAACAGTGGTACAAAGACTAACTGCAGTATTAATTTAATTGCGCTGTACCGCGCCTTGTTTTCTACATTACAGGCAAGTTCACAAATACAAGCATTACATACGTGCTTTCTGTCTCTTCCTTAGCATTCTTGGAGGTTTTCTTTCAACCCTTTAACCTTTGAACTACTAATTTGCGATACTAATGGGGTACTGGTCCTTCCCTTGCAAAAATACATAAATAATTCTGATTAGAGAACCATTAAATCATTACTAAGACTGTACACGGCCTGAGGTGTGACTGATGACACATAACAATGAGACCTGGATCTGCTCTGAATGAGAAGGGAAAGAAAACCTCTAACCTTCCAGGCTAATTGCTAGGTGCTTTTTAGAATAAAACGTATTCATACAAGTAAAATAATGTGTAAAAAGCAAATTAAATTTGTTGTTTCTTAACCTTTGGGCATTTGACTTTACAGCTTATAACTTATAAAATAATTCAATATAATTTTGTTTTCCCACCTTTATATTCCATATTATTTTCAATTGTGATGTTGCATAGAACCATCACGTTCAGTTTAAGCTCTGAAGAACAGTAGGTCCAAGTGTTGATGAGAACCAGAAGGGACAGCAGTGAGGTACAGTCGTGCCTCAAAATAGACACGGGTCCCACCTGTGGCAGGTCAGCAAGAGCGTAAAGTAACAATAACCTTAAGATGAAAAAGCATTTGGATTCTGGGGCAACAAAGCAGGTAGGATGGAGACATTGGTCCGATCTGTAAGCACCAAGGTTTTTCTGCATATTCTGAACGTCGAGTAAGATTCAGGTTAAGGAAAATGCTTATGGAGCAGCTCGGTTGGGTGACTGCCACAAGCAGAGGCACTCGTTGCCTTCTGCCTGCCGGTGCAGCTGGGAGCTCTGCTCAGCGCTACCAGGGCGCTGCAGGAAGGCGCCTGTCCCCGCTCTGCTTCTGGGCTGGGTTTTTGCAGGATCCCACGGTCACACCGAAAGCAGCAGGGCCTGAGGGGAGGTGCGGGTGGGGTATCAGGAAAAATTTCTCAGAGTTTAGCTGCGCTGACACGGGCTGCGTAGGGAGGGGGTGGAGTCAGCTGTCCCTGGAGGCGTCCGATCAACTCGTGGATGCGGCGCTGAGGGCCGCGGTCAGCGGGCGCGGTGGGGATGGGCTGACAAAAAGATTAGCGGCCGTTTCCAGTCCTAATGATTCTAAGACTAGATCGTAAAGAAGGCGTGCGGGCAGCAGACCAAAAGGCTGGGCCTTCTGTCTACTTCAGCTCCTGAAGCGCTATCTTCACACACACAGTCTCACGCTGGCTGCCTGCCGTGCCGGCCCGCAGGTGCACCCCGCAGGGACAACACAGCACAACCTCAACGCGAGGGCGCGGAGCCGCTTCCTCCCGGCAGCCCCACATCCCAGCGGGGCTCCAACCGGACAACCCAACCCCTTCGCCCGCCGCTTCGCCGTCAGCCCGCGGCGCTCAGGGCTCGCCCTGCCCCGCCCCCTCCGGGGCCGCCGCCGCTCCCCTCAGTCCCCGCGGGTGACTAAGCACGCCGCCGTGACCGACCCTTTACCTTCCCTCCCGCCCCTGTGCCCCGCCCGCCGCCACGGACCGCCCCTCCTCCTTCCCTCCCGTCGCTGCGCCTGCGCGGTGCGGCGCGGCGCGCGCGGGCGCAGGAATGTGCGTTCCAGTTAAATAGTGGGCGCAGGGGCGGCCGCCGCGGCGCTCGGGCGCGGGGCGGCGGCTCTCGGCCGGGCCGGAGCGAGCGGGGCGGCGCGGAGCCTCCATGGCGCGGCGCGGCCGCTGGGGCGGTCGCGGCGGTGCGGCGCGGCTGTGACAGGCGGCCGGGGCCGGCCTTTCTCCCGCCCCAGCGCTTAGCGGGGCCCTCGGCGGCGGAGAGCGGCGTCCCGGGGCGCTCGGAGAGGAGCCGTGGCGGCCGGGGGCTGCCGGCGGGTCACCGCCTCTATGATGAAATTTAAGCCGAACCAGACGCGGACGTACGACCGGGAGGGCTACAAGAAGCGGGCGGCGTGCCTCTGCTTCCGCAGCGAGCGGGAGGACGAGGTGAGCCCGGCACGTGGGGCCGGGGGGCGGGAGCCGAGACCCGGGCCGAGCGGGGCGGCGGGAGCCGGGCGGGGCTCCGCGGCTCTTTGTCTCGGCGCGGGGGGCACCGCCACGCGCGGCCGTCCCCGCGCCGGAGGAGGAGGCGGCGGCGGCGGCGCGGGGCGGGCGCGGCTCTCGCCCACCATCTTGGGGCTGCGGGGCGCGGGCCCACGTGCGCGGGGCGGCGGCGCCTCCTTTGTGCGCGCCGGGCCCCGGGCGGCGCCCCGCGTAATGGCGGCCCGATGCGGGACGGGGCCGCGGGCTGCGGGCACAGCGTCCGACCGTGGGGCTCCGCGGAGCGGGGGGCGCGGCCCTCCCCGGGGGGCCGGGGGGAAGAGCTGAGCGCTGTCCCGCCTCGCGGTCGGCTTCTGCGGGTTTTAATCGTTAATTTTCGGTCGTCGGAGGCGGCGCGGTGCGGCGTTGCGGCGGAATCGGGAGGTGGCTGTAGCGCTGCCCTATATCCCAGCCAAGGTCAACGGCACCGGCCGTTATCTGCGAACTTCGCTGATGGATGCGTTGCACAATGCGTCTCCGTGCTGTCTGGAAGCACACCCTGTCCTGGCTTTCGTTCTTTTCTTTTTTAATGCCTTTAAGTACGCCGCTTACGGCTTGCGTTTGTTCTCCTTTCCCCGTGGGCTGGGAGGAGCTGTCGCCCCGTGCCGCCTGTCAGTGAGGCACGTGTGCTGCGGGGCCCTCAGCGCCCGGCGGCGAGAGGCCGCATCTCCCAGCGCTCGGCGGTGCCTCCGGGAATCAACCCGAGTGGCGTTGTGCCTTGTGTTATCCCGTACAGCCTCAGGAGCGAGCCGAGCGGGCTTTGCTGGGTGTTCTAAAGGAGAAGAGTGCCCGGCGGAAATC